ATCATGAGCCGACAAAAATAGACATCATTAATATCTCCCTTACAAGTGACGCAAGTCGTTATGCATTGGCGAAGTTGTCGACCTTGCATTTATGGATGTTGACTCATGTGAGCAAGACCCCTAGAACTGGACCCACCAAAAACTGCCCGTCTTAGGCTGCATTGTGTTCCCAAATTACCAATCACCTGAGTAGGATCGATAGCTCAGTGGTAGAGCGAGAGATTGCAGTTCCACACGCAGTTATCTCTAGGCCCCGTGTTCGAACCACGGTCGGTCCTTCAGCTTTTGTCCTCGCAACAAACATCCTTTTTTCTTGGCTTTTTTACTTACGGCCAATCTTTAGCTAATTCTTGTTAACCGCAACTACATCTGTATTCATTAAAATCTAACTAGTTGTTATGAGCGAATACTTATCTTCTGAACGCATTTGTCATTTTGTCCAAGGTGTACCAGATGCGTATCTTTTGCTGTGTGATAGGTCATTGAAATCAAACACAATGCCAGTGATGTGTCCCAAAGAATGCGTCTGCCTGTCTTTCTCGAGGCTCTGTATAGTGACTCTTTCGGTGTCCCGGAGTCAAGAAGGAACGGATAAGAGTGAAGGCAAAAATATCACTGCAAGAGAGGCTACTACAACAACTCTCTGTTTAAAGCAATTCAATCAATGCAATCTTTCATGCCATCAAGGTTACACTAAACGGATAAACAGTGTCAGCTATAAGAAAACCACTTTCGATGCTGGTGACTGAGGAAGTCTGAGTTAGACAATAAGAGGTCATCCACCAAGATATCTTATTGGTGACTTTGTTTGATCGTTCCGTCAAGGGAAAATGACCACTCACAAGCAGCGGGCTTAGAGCCCCTAAATATTCGTATCTTACAGCAGTATTGCCCACTTGACCTTCGACATGTGCTTGGGTAGGCCGTTTAACAACACTGAGAAACGACTTGGTTGAGGAGTCAAGCTGCCAGCCTATACCAGAACGCGTTCCAATGAGCGATGCAATCACAATCGGGGAGAACTCAGCTAAAGAACCTATAGCAAAATATTGAATAGTTTCTCAAGGATAGGACACGCCCTTGGCTAGCTCACTACTAGAAGGTTCTTCTGCTGCTTCTTGGACTATTAGGCCAGTGCAAATTAGCTAAGAGTTCGACAACGACACTTTGCCATTTGACACCCGAGTCAGGTTGTAGACAGACATCAAGTCTCTAGCGTTGAGGACTACTTCCACTCTTCATAGCTTGAGCGCCGGTGTGGTTGATATCAATATCCCTGGGTCAGTTACCCTCGCAATGCTTTTGCAGAGGAATTCTAACATCGATTCCTGGTTGGGTTGGGCTCAATGCGATGGTGAACTGTAGCAATGACCCTGGCGAGAAGAACATCAAGGCCAATGCCATGCACTCTCAAAAACGCCAATGCCATCGACTTAGCTGTCTTGCAGTCAACGCTTGAAGCATCCAACTACAGCCCGCCTAAACCCATTCGAACTTGACAACAACCCAGACCATGACAAGTAACCGCATGCCACGACGGTAGAACACCGCGTAAGACCGTAACGCGGCCCTGCAAGACGCGCAACACTTGTCGCGTAAGAAACCTTTGTCCCGCCTCGAAATCCAAAAAAATGGACGCTGGAGACTCAGCAGAAAGCCATTGACAAAACGAGTCATATTCGTCAACCGTCTCGCAAGGGGAACGAACACATGTGCAGCCGTCACAAGACATTGCCGCAAAATAGATCGTCGTCGACCCGCAGTATGATTCAACACAGCCATCTTGAAGACGCAAGCTCCCATACCCGCCCTCGACCGTCATCATCGCACCGGATATTGTAAAACCACAATCCCTTAATCGACACTCGTCAAAGCACATACTCTTGGCAGCCGTGAAAGCCCGGGAAGGATGATCCCCTTCAACCAGGGACCATATCGCAGAAACGTCAAATCTCCCACGCCGATCAAATCTCCTTTCGCCGGCCCGAATTCACACTCACACAGCCCCATCACCATGTCTCCGCCAAGAAGTGAGAGAAACACAATATTGAAAAAGAAACACGTTTGCGCAATGAGAAACCAGCAGAGATTCAAGCCAACACCAACGAAAAGATAAGGGATCAAAGCGGACGGGGATATCCTGCGTTCCCTTCCGAAACCAATGCCAAGGGAACATCATCATCGTGCTTCTCGCCTCACCTTTTAAGCCGTTGGCAGCCACGAGTTTGAGGTTTGAGGAAAAATAAAGAGAGCTTGACGGCAGTTTATTACAACCACGCCACCCGGGTCAAAAACAGGGGAAGAAAAAGACATGCATCCGCCTCCGCGCAGCACGTTCACAAGCGATCGATCCCACCCCCTGGTGGGAATGTGTTGGGAAGACAAGAGAGAGGAAATACAGAGTACAAGACGCAGACACCCCTCCGGATGCCGGGAGGCACATTCCGCGGTCCGCACAGGTTGTGCTCCGTCCACTCCCGTCCGATGTTCGGGGGGGGGGCGTGTGTACATGTGTGTTTTGCACAAGATAGAAGAAGAGGAGGGATGTTGATTTGTCTACTGCCGTTTTTCAATTCGTCTTGTCTGTTCCCTGTTCGTCTCATTTTCCCGTAAGGCAGACGAACGGGATCTACTACTAGAGGAAGGCACACACTCACACCAGCACCAAATAAATAAGGAAAAGCCTAACTCGATCGACGGTACTTGCTGATCGCCTATCGCTCAATGGGAATCCCCGGACGAGCCAAGGAGAAGTGGTAGATGGGCCAGAGCTGGGCCAAAAACACTGATGTTTGGCGCGAGGGGGGCAGAACTACACTAAACTAGGTTGATTGATGGTCCTGTCCGTTCTGGCTTCCTCGCGACCCTTTCAGCTCCGCTGACTGGCTGCTGCTGGTTTTTGCTTCGCAGCGCATGTGGTAGCATTTTGGCATGCGCCAAGGTTCGCTGTCAGGACACCCTTTTTTCATATTTTTTTTTGGTCCTTCACCCATTTTGTTCCCAGGTGTTTTATTTGTGTTTTTTTTTTGAAATGGTAAATGATCGACCGTCGTCTACACATACTAGTGGCCGGAAGCACGCTAGCGATGCGGACGTCGCTGACTTGGGCAAGGCACCGAAAACGAAGGAGAAACGTTCTAGAAGATCTAGCCCAGAATCCAAGGCTTCCCGCGCCGCCCATTACGCTCTTTGCCACCAGAGATAAGGTCTCGCTGTAATATGGTAGGGTCATGCAGCACAACCACCCCCCGGATCCAGGGCTGGCCGGCGTTCTCATGCAGAAGAGCGAGAGTGAGAGTGTGTATGAAAAAAAAAAACTCTGCTATCAACGGGCGTATGGAAAGGGCCGCTCCAGACTCTGCAGAGTCAATCCTCAAAGACCATAGATACCCTATCCGACACTGTCGCGTGTTGAGCCGCACATGCCTTGCCTCGCGTCAGATTTGACCTGGGCAGACGTAGACGTGTGGAAGTGGACATGGACATGAATGTATTCGGTACTTGACGAGGTGCATCCTGCGAGGGGGTCATTCTCATGGAATGGAATGGGCCAAGACCACCACCACAACTATTACTTGCTACTCCTCTTCCATCATATTTCGCCCCCAACACATAAGGGGGGAGGGGAGGGGGTCTTGAGGGATTTTCAGGTGTCGTGTCTAAACGAAGAGGTCAGCATGGCCTGTTTTCTCTCACCCGGAATAAAGTTCCTTGGGGTGTGATTGCGTCGGGACAAAGGAGCGTCGTGATAGGGCCCTTTTCCGCCCAGCCCAGTCTAGCCCAGCGACCTTTTCCCTCACCCCGCGAACCCCGGACTTTGCGTACATATAAGAAAATGGGGGATGGGGAAAGTGTGTGTGTGTGTGTGTGTGTGTGTGTGTGTGTGTGTGTGCAGGAGAGAAAACGCTCTTCAAATGAAAGATGTGACCCGGCAGCTGCCCGGGCCGGTCGATATATCATAGGGCAAGATTCGTCGCAAGGAATTTGTAGTTCCCTTTGGACAGCACGACTGTATAAACAAGCGATGGGCTCATAACAGACGACGCCACCAAGACTCAACCCTTTGCTGACACGAATGACTCTCCCTATCGATGGCCGGATCCCTAGAAATCATGTCTGTGTTGCCGAGTAGCTTTCACTAGCTAACAACCGGTTGCTGAAACAAAACTTGATAGATTTAGTTCCGCAGGTTGGTAATGGACTTAGCTACACCTAAGCGTCTGAGGGTTGGGAAAATGAGTAGCTTAGAATGTATTTAATCATAATTATAGGCTAGTTGGAATAAATACCCAAAAGTTGTTCCTGACAACAGTCGGGGGAAAGCTCCAAATTACGGCGTTGGGGATCGCCAGCAAGGGGTCCGAACAGAAGCGGCCCCGTAGGGCGGACTCGCTCAGTTTCCCGAGTCCGACTCCACGAGCGAGAAAGATTTGATACAATGCTGTTCCGCTATAGTCGGGACAGACATCTTTGTGCGACTGACTTCGGAAAATGTTTACTAGAAAACGTTGATGAAAACCCGAACCTCGTCTTTCTTTGTGGGGTCTTTGGCTCGGCCCGTCGTATACTCAGGAATAGTTTCCGCTCACGTTTACTCACGTATAGCTTCCGCTCAAGTGCACTTGCGAATAGCTTCCGCCAAAAATACACTTATAAACAGTTTCCCTCTGAACTCCAGAGCCTTGGGCTAGATCCAGGAGAGATTTGTAATCGTCAGGAAAGAGCCATCGGAGATTGTGCAAGCTCGTGAGGATTCACTGATAAAAAAAAAACCATGAATATAAGTTGCCATCAGTATCAGTTGAACCGTAAGAAACATGACACAAGTAGTCCTTCATCGTCTTAGCAGCTTTACACGCCAACACCGAACAGCGTTATGGCGCAGATTGCTTTCAAGAATGTTGCCGTGATTGGGGTAAGTGGGAAACATGGATCAAACCATACCAGCGCCCGGCTAACACGAATACAGTGCAGCGGCAACCTGGGCAGAATCGTCTTACATGCACTCCAACAAACCGGGGCCGCTCTCTGAAATGGTGCGTGAGGTTTCACAAGAGACCGCCCGGAAGACAAAAGAGTTAACATGAACAGGGGCTTCGACTCGGGCTGTTCGGGTTCAATCTAGGAACCAGGGAGGCATTGATCTGGGATGAAGGCAACGTCCGCTTTTCGATGACAAGCGTCAAGGGCCTAGGTGATGCCGTGGTAGGGGTTTTGCGCAATCCCGAGGCCACGGCAGACAAGTACCTTTTGGCGTCTTCGTTGACTGTGTCTCAAAACGAGATCTTGGATGCCTTGGAAAAGGTGACCGAGTCCAAATGGACCGTGAAGCGCACTACAACGAGCGAGCAGTTGGAAAAGGGCAGGAGTTTGCTTGCTGCTGGTGATCCAACCGGAGCTTTTGCTCTAATTTCGGCGGGGTATTGGGGTAATGTGCCTGGGATTGAACATGCCTATGACGGAGAGGGAACCTCGTCAAGCGAACTGCTCGGTGTAGCCCCAGAGTCTATCGAGGAAACAATTAACAAGGCTCTCGGCAATAGCTAGATTGGCCACGCTTCCAGCCATGAGTTGGCGAGCCTTTGATGAAAGCTATGGATCGACAACAATTACAACCAAATGGAAAATATGATGGCTTGACGGCCTATCTTGCTGTGTTCTCCACACCACGTCTGTGTTACATACTGTTACCTTGCACGGCACCTACGAATTGCTAAACAATGTTTTGTATAGTCCGTCCGAATCCAGTGTATTGGTAGATTTATGGACTCTGAAGGTGCTGTGCATGAGTCTGAACTTCTTGAGGCAGCGTGATGAGAAATTGTGTCACCTTTGTAAGCGGAAGGTTTCGAGCCTGCACAACTCGGTGCCTTCAGTAGGCGGAGAGACCAACGAATACCGCATTGATGAATTCTACAGCATGTTGCAGGGGCCATGTTAAAAGAACAACTCCAACTATGATATCAATCGGAAAAGTTTCTAAATGCCACAATATAAGAGAACAACGGACGGCATACCGAGTTTGGTAGATTGGTCAGTGTTGCAAGTTAAACCGTGTTGTTCTTCGAGTGGTTGCATCCCATCTACTATGGTATCGTCCTATGTGTCTAATACTACTGTCATTCTTATACACCTATCCAAGTCACCCTTTCACGGATGTATAGCTGGCATAAAATCATCCGTTACGGTTATTTTCCATGGACACGCTAACGTGAAAAGAAGAAACGCATTTGTTAACTCCTGGCGAAGACGGCAGCTTTGTTTGGAAAATAGCGATGGCATCCGTGGTTAACTGCTCGCAAGCAATTCAGGTTCGTGACTATGCCACCAGACTCTATGCCCAAGTGGCGTCCTGCAATTCTACTTCATCGTAGAGACCATCCCATAACTTCCGCCGGCCTGTGGAGCGACTATGGCCGCCGGCACAGGGCGGCGCTAAGTGTTTGATTAGTTCTGAGCGGGAACGCCGTCGGCGCTGTGACAGGCGGCAACGGAGAGAAGTGCGGTGAAGGGGAGAAGAGCGGCACGGAGAGGAGACACGCGAGGCGAGGGGAACGAGTAGACAACTGCCCATTTTTTCGAAAAGAGAAGGCTGTCGCATGAGCTTCTTCCCCGGGGAACCAAGCAAAGCAAGCAGAGCAGAGCAGGCAGACAGGAAGGCAAACGAGCGGTTGAGATGATTAGCTTCTCGCTTCTCCAAAACGACGTGACACGATGCAGCAGGCATTGGAGCGAGATTCCCAACCCCCTTTCTCCCCCCTACGTAGCATCTCTGCGTCACTGGTCTTTGCTGGCACCGTAACGTCGGTAACAGCTGTCCCCAGGACCCACGCTTTGCGAGAGACTCTGACGAGGTAAAAAGGCGCACAGGCAAGACGGCTTCTTTCAGGGACAGGAGTCCTGTAGGGGAACGAAAGGAGGAGCGCCGCCGGGCAAGCGAGTATCGATCAGTTACTGGATGGCGACGCTTCCAGGGGGATGGGGCTTCGCGGGCGATTTACCGCCATAGTACGGAGTACGTATGGTATGGGCACACTACACGGTGGCTCACCGCCACTTGGCTTGGCGGGAATCCGTCGTCGAGCGTGGAGCAGCGCCGCCCGAAAGAGAGGCTTGAGCGGGCGGAAGGGACGGCGTGATGAGAAGCGGAAAGGAGGAGATGCTGGTTTGGACGAGAGGCTGGTTGGCTTTGCTGGTAGTAGTGCCCTGTGTTGGTTTCATTATTTCGTCTTGGACGCCAATGTTGAGGATTGGCAACGGACATGTTTCGATTGGACGAGAGGGTGCCGGTTTTTTGGGTGACTTTTTTCCCCCAGTGCCGGTTCAATTGTCCTTTCCCCCCATGCTCCCTCCGTACAACGTAATATATGGTATGTTCCGTTTGGTTCGCATTTGACATGCGGTGCCAGCCAGCCAGCCAGCCAGCCAGCCAGCCATTGTCACCCACACATGCCCCAACTCATTCCACGGCCCAGAGACAGAAGAGACACTGTTTTGGTCCCTGAGAATTGGATAGCCATCATGGAAACCGGAACCGGGCTTGCTCTGACCCCCACCTTTCTTCGGCAAGAGTGAGGTGTCAATCTTGAATATTGCACTTTAAGTCAGAAGTGACAACGAGGTTGGAGGAGGAGGTCATGGATACCCTCGTCAGGGACCTTTGGAAACCGTCTCCATCCCGTGTGGTCTTCTGCCGAGCACCATCTCGATGCGAGGCGAACCCATTGCAGCCACTCATAATTCATCAACCAGACTCTCACTTGATTTGCTCCATGACAATTCAGTTGTATATGGTCTGCCGCACCAGCAATCAAAAGCTCCAACATCAGTCTTGGGGGGGGGCGGCTCACATGCAACTGAACAAGGGGCAGCTGGACTGTGGACTAGATGAAAGACTACAAACGCGTTGTTCCTTACTCTGCAATCGGCCAAGGTGCAGGCCTCACTTCAGTCGCGCTCACCATCTCAAGATGGCATTTCCCATGTAAACAACCACCATTGGCAGACAAGTATGTCAATGTCTATCTTAACCCGCTTAGAGCTGCCGGCTGGGAGGGTGTTGTTTTTTGAGTTTCGGCGGCGGCGCCTATCCCAACAAAACTCGCAAGTACTTGAGATCCAAGTCGTGGGTACAAGCCCGCGTCGTCCCTTCCTGTCAGAGGACCGCGCATGGCTATTGTCATTGTTCAAACGGCATGGTTGCGCTGGTAGCTCTGCTTGTGCTTGCTTTAGTGCAGCCAAGGCCCCAGCCTAAAATGTGCAATAATCAGAGACGGCGCTAGAAACACCGAGGCTCGAGCGAGGCACCGCTGTCTTGGGAGCGGACATGGCGGACTCTAACGCGCGATTCCAAAGGCACTTTGATGGGGCGGGGGGGAGAGAGCCGCTCGTGTCGGTTTTGTCGGGTCCGTCTCTGACCCTCGATTATTATTCATATCGCTCGGCCCTGGCAGATAGACACTTCCTTTGGATGAATGAGCCTGTATGTGTGTGTGTGTGTGTGTCCACTGGCGGCTCCAGCGCCCCCCCCCCCAGAAAAATAAATAAAAGGCGATTTGGAAGGGCGGAGATTTAATTTTTCTGGGGCCGACTGTCGGTCACTGACACAGAAACTCCGGGGCTCATTTCGGAGGAAGTCGGTCGCCAAGTCGTCGGCGAGCGTCAGGACGCGAGCTTCTCTCGGGTTGACACGGTCAAGTGACGAGATCCATGACCCGTCCTCTCTTGTCCTCCACCTCCCCTGACCCTTTCTTCCCCCCTCTCCGCCGACTGCATAACACCAGTGTCAAAATGTCTTTCATTTCGTTATGCATTGCCCGTCTCCTTTGGGCCACCTGCAGTAGTGCACCAAGCGAGCCATTCACCGTCCCTGCTAAGGGCGTGTCGCGTTCTTGTCAAGCGTGGGGGAGAAGGATCCAAAGCAAATGGCAGCAGACAAGAAAAAGAAGACCGGTTACTCGTGGATTTGTGCTGAAACAAAATCATGGCCAGCAGGGCTGTCGTAAAACCACTTTCCTGCACACCCTCAGCTCTTCGTTGACTGCCGCCTGGGATGGTCTCGACCAGACCTGGCCCACGCGAATGTCACTCGACGGATGCGCGGGTGACCTTGTGAAAGCTGAGGTAAACTTGACTGACGGCGAAGCGGTGACTTGTTCCATGGATGAACGGAACCGCCCTTTGCGAGCAGCCTGATTGTAAGATGACGAAGAAAAAACAACAACAAGAGATCGGCCGCAAGGGGTGGGAAGGGGGGCACCAGCTGGTGCGAATGAGTATCATCATCATCGTGAGCATCCTCAGCTTCATTTGACCACCCCCGTCTGGCCTCTACTAGTTGGCCATTTCCTTCCAGTGACCGTTCAGAATTGTATTGCCCATATCCGTACATTAAAGATTCAACCAGGGCTTTTTCAGGCTAGTGAAACAAGCTGTCAGCCGAAACAGAGTTCGGCCGACGGGATGCGTATTTGCAGGGTGACAAGTGCTTGGCGTACGCAACGCGCCTCCCATTCAACCACTAGACTTGGGGCGCCGAGCCTGCGGTACCCTGACCAGAAGTGCTTCATCGAGTCGCTTTGTCCATGTAAGGTACTGCAGGACCTGGCTGCTGCGGCTGCTGCACGCAAGTCGGTTTCCCCGGTCCAGCCCGGTCCAAGTCAAGTCTGTCAACGACAGTAGTCTTTGCGCTGGCTGATATGGTGATCAACGGGAACATTCCTCTGACCGGACGGTGAAACCGGCATCGATCAAGAGCGCCCCCGGCTAGAACAGTTGTGGACATGATTGAGACAGAGAACTGCGGGCTGCTAATTTCCAATAACTCGGTTTGCTTGCCCCGGTGCCGTTGCAGATTTCCGGATGCAGACGACGGCCGGCCGGGCACAGACAAATGCATCAGCGGCTGGTCTGTGTAGAGAAGACCATCAGCTGCAGATATTCACGACGACGACGAGCAAATGGTGCACCAGGTGGGCCAATATGGGAGGGCGTTGCTTCGGGTGTTGACCCAGGAGCGAATCCGCCTTGCAGACTGCCGAGATATGTTTGTTTGAAAGGGGATGAAAAACAAAAAAAAAAATACAATCTCCCTTTCAAGTGTTACTGCATGTCTTTGCTAGAGCTCTTGGCCTTGAGGCTTTACTGAGATTGAGTTGCTCGGCGAGCGCTTTGCTCGCTATTGCCAAGCGCTTCCCCCGACGATCGCAACAGCCTTACTTCGGGGCATTGAGGGGGCAGCAGAGCTCAAGGGAATGAAGCAAATCCGAGATTCGAAGCTTGTGCCACAGGCAATGTCTCAAATCCGGACCGGTGTCAACCACACGGCTGTACCTCCACTGCCGCTATGAGCGTAGGGTCGCCCGCCCTCCCAAAATGCGTGTTTAGCGAGTGCGACGTTCTGGGACACCACTCAGTCGAGGGCAAAAGAACGTCTCTCGGTGTGTCGCCAAGAACGACCGCGCATTTTCGCTGGCTCCCCAAAGCGGAAGAAGAAAAAGGGCAGAATATCAGACGACGGCACAAACCGTTCGACTCGTCTCGTCATC